TCTTTATACATTACATATAATTTTTGATATATAGCACGTTCTCTGATTGGCTGATGATCGTGTTTATATCAGAGGACAGAGACATGTATGACGTTTTATATTTCTTAAATAAAGTTATAATTGACAAGTATTGTAAAAAAGGCAATTCAACCCAAAGGTACTTGTATCTCAGCAATCAATAATCGTTTTCAAGTTGTTTTGTTTTTTATTATTTGCCAATTTTGTTCTTAACAAAGGCTTTCATTCAGGATCACCTGTTGATGTAAGAACCTGTTGGTGTACTTTGTTAGTTCTTTTGTTGTTTATGTATGGTGGTGATTGTATTTTTTTTTTTTTCTACTTCTTCTAATTAATTAATTTTTTTACCACAAAATATAAGTACCCATTTTCATATTTCTCTACTTCCACTGAGCCACTGATTAGAGAAAAACAGCAAGAACAATATAATTTGAGAAACGAAAATAAAACAATTATCATGCAACATTGTTGGTGTTCAAGCTATTAGAGTRGGTGTTTCTCATTTTTCATGGCCAGTTTTGCTGTTGAACTAGTTGCAAGTGTTCATGACAGTGCAAAAAACAGCAAGAATGTTGTTATACAACAACTTGAGTGGTTATTGCCAAAATCATTGTCCTACCATTAGTTCCTTTGTAACGATAAAGTTGGTAAAGTGGTAGTATAGTGAAAGTATCCCTGTTAATGTCTTATTTGCTTTCAGAGGGAAAATTTATTTATTTATTTATTTATTTATTTATTTATTTTCTATTTATTTATTTATTTTATTTATTTATATTTAGAATCTATACACTCATCAGCATTTATATATTTATCAAAATGTTTTCTCTTAGGTTCCTCTCCATACAACTCCCCTGGAGCCACCTTTGCATTTGCTGTTGTGTGGCGTAATGGATCCTCAACAACTTCCTGGACGGGGCAGTGTAAGATGTGTGAGGATGGTAAGGAAAAACTACTGACATCCTGGCTGCTGAGATCACAAGTAAACACATGCATTGACAAGTGGAAATCAACGATGATTGGACGAGATGTGTTTACAAGATATGAACAGCGTCCAGGAATACCCAAACCAAGTGGTGCACCACCAACAATCCCACCACCKACAACAATTATCTTCAAACCCCGCCAACCATGTGACATAGTTGGCAAGTGGTARAATTCAGTTGGTTCTGAGATGATAATAAAGCAGAACATGGATGGTGTTATTATAGGGGAGTATCGAACAGCTGTGGAACGTGAAAAGGGGGCAGCAGGCAACACCCATTCAGTAGTTTATGGTATAGGAGCACATGGAAATCCTAATGGCACTTTTGCTTTCTTTGTGGTATGGAATAAAGGTGCATCAGTCACTGGATGGGTAGGGCAATGTCATATCTGTGGAGAGAATAAAACTGAGGTCCTAGAGAGTACATGGTTACTAAGGAGCAAGATTGACAAGTGCGGTGATAATTGGAAATCAACAATGTACGGAGAGAATAGTTTTACTRGCCATGAACAGAAGAAAGGGCCTCGTAAACATTTAGGTATAGACACACCAGGGAGGGATGGGGAGGTTGTGAAGCCCTGTAGCAGAGGTACAATTACAAGAAATTATATGGTACTTCTGTATTCAGTTCTTCTAGGAAGACAACTTATAATGTAATGTAAGCAAATCAAACAAGTGTGTTTTGTTTGGTGTTTATAAATGGGAAAATTGTTATAGCACTTTATACTTTACAAGGGGTGGCATCTTGATCATTGAAATAACTTTTAGAGTAAAGTAGAAGAGCATAATCTTATTAAAACTAGTCATATTAAAACTTCATTTAGGATATAAATTATAGGCCCAATTCCCTCAAATATGGAAATTTTGAGTGTTTTGCAACAATTTTAAGATAAAGTTGACACTTGAGGATGGAGCGTCTAATCATTGTGTGGTAGTGGCATTAATGTGTTTTAGCAAATGAAACTCTGTTGTGGCTATAATTTTCCATAATTTGTGTTTGCCTAATATTYTCTCCCTTATGACTAATGTTTTGTCGTAACACTTTTAGAAAAGCCATAAACAATACAAGAAAAAAAAAATGTAATTTATTATAATTTTGTATTTAATGTTAGTTGGTATGACATTGTAGAGTYAGGTCATTAAACCTGTGAAACAAAACTCGTGATTGTCAAATAGACACAAAACAAAATAATGCAATATAAAAGCAATCCATACTAGCAGAGTTAGTAACTCTAACTCTGATACTAGTGTGTGTACATGTAATATCTATTTAACAGGTTATTTTGACTTCACTTAATTCCCTACAGTACTTGCGTATATTTATATCAAAATTATTTAAGTTTGAAGTTTAAAGAGAAATGACAACATCCGCTAGAGACAAGGCACTTATAATTAATATTTACACAGTTTAGTAGTAATTAGTACTATTTTTTTATGGATTAAGTGTGTTTAATCTAATGTTTGAATATATGTGGCAAATGATGAGACAAGTCAAAGGTCAAAATCAATGAGAGTATACCAGTAAATATGAAATAGCCTGAAATGCCAGTGATCTGCAGTTTTAGGGCTGATGAAAATTGACGTCTAATTTATTCTTGTGAAATTTTGACAATACAAAAGGAATTCAAAAGAATAAATTTGATGTCAAGTGCAAGGACTTATTAAATGGGCCGATAGCCATAGCACTCTATCAAACAATTTTATTAGCCAAGTTTGATCATATTTTGGATTTTGAGAATGTAATTTTCATATATTCATTATTCTATTTCATTTTATTTTTTTTGTATTTGTTTACAACAGAACATTTTCATTTTTTTTCAGTAATATTAATTATCAAGCACATGCAAGACTTTGTTAAATACCTCATATTTTTCGTTGACTTCAACATGTCTTTAGTCTTAACGCACTTATGAGACTTTTAGCACGAAACAAGTTTTATTTATTTACAAACCTTTTCATTATTAGTAAGACTTAATCCTTTTCATTATTAGTAAGACTTAATCCAATAATAAAGTGCACATTTAATTAAGTTAAAACTATTATTTGTTTGCTTAAAATGGCTCTCTGCAAAATAATTACACAAATTTAAATAAATAATTATTTGAAAGAGAGTTTACTTGTCATAACACTTTGTTCCAGCATTGCTATTTGGCATACCTGCAGCAGCTACAACAGATATAATAATATTCATGATACACTTTGACTTTGACAAATTCAAAGTTTCCAAATTCAATGTTTTGATAATATTTTACAATTGCTTTCTGATCATATTTTTGTATATACAAGTTCATGTTGATCTGTTAAACGAATCTTTCAATACTTGAAACAAAATGGTACCCATGTCAATTTTTTTTCAATCCACTGATTTCATGAAATCTTGATTGTATTCTCAGACATGGAATCTTGTTGATGGTGACATGACACCAGTATATTATGTCACTTTGATCTTTTTTTTGTCATTCAGGTGTGACTTTTGGGTCTTGGAAAATTGAACAGTTCTCTATTATTAGATGTCAGATGTTGAAACTTTCTCCACATCCACATGTTCCTTTGATGTTTGGATTATGAAAGACAAATTCACTAGACAGCTTGTTTTCAACATAGTCCATTTCTGTCCCCAGTAATGACAACTGTGCTTTTGAATCTATTAAAACTTTTACACCTAGAGAGAAGAGCATTATTGTTTTTTAATTCATAACTACACAAAGGATGACCCAAATATTCTTTACATTCATCCCAATTTTGTTATGATATTATAATAATAGAAAGATGCCTTCCCAGAGAGTGTAAACATGAAAACTTACAGATGTGTAATAAATGAAGATAACATTGCTATAATACAGGTTTGAACAGTCTATTTGGTAATGCTGCGAAAGCAATAAATTGTATTGCAAGTATCAGAAAATATCACTACATGTCAGGGCTTTCATTAAAGGCCAGCAACCAGCAAAATCAACCTTTATTTTGATCTTTAGGCAGACCATTTATGCAAACTTATGGTTGTAATGCAATTCAAATAATTATATGGTAACTTTTTCAGAACAACCACTACTTCCAAATTTAGTGAAAACCCTGCATGTACCCAGAGCCTTAGATGCCCTTATATTGTACTTACCATCTTGGTCAACAACTTCATCAAATTTTCCTTTTTCACTAGCAAAATCTAATGTATATGAGAGACCATTGCATCCTCTTTGGCGTACCCCTACCCTGAGACCAATCTAATGAAAAAAACTTAATAGATAAATAAAAGAAAGAGAACATGTTAAGTAGCAAATTACTGCCATTATCATATTTAGCCAACAAAGCTAAAAAGATCTGGCAGACACCTTTATGTACTAAGTATTATAAAGGGGTAGCCATTCTGTCACTTGTTTCTACTCAAATAAATTAAATACACAATTTAAGTTAAGTAAACATTTTTTTATGTTGTGGCATGGACTCAACTATTCTGAATACGTTTTTTTATTCTGGTGTCCATGTGTTGTTAAAAATACACTGATTTAAAAAAAAACAATAACTGGTTAATTCATAAAGATATTATCGAAAGTAAAACCAAAATAGATTTTGGAGACTTGGAAGTTGATTCATATTTGCCTAAAGATGAACATTTTGTCATAGAATAGGCTGTGTTTATGTTTTGGAAATTTACACAGGTACTACATTGCAGTCTTTAGCTTTAATGATGCAGCTTGTTTGAAAATGACAAGTATACATACTGTATCTTGATGTCCTTCCAAGAGTGTTTTAATTTTATTTACAGCGGCTGGAGTCTGCAAGATAATAATGATTTGCATCAGAATTGTTTAATGCTATTTCATTACGTTTTACTACTTTGCCTTTGCATTTACAGTTTGRATTTGTTCGCGTTTACTTTGACCTCTATATTGCGTTACGGCGTGACTGTCACGCATCGCATGACGATGACAAAGAAGATTACCAGACGATTTATTCAACGAGACAGCTACAACAGTTGGCGTCGTTTCACAGCCGCTTCTGACGATACTACACGAATGTAGTTCAAGCAGTTAACTTCTCTCGTTAATATTCGCTTTTGAGAATGCAAAATGTCCTTATATGAAGGAATTTCTCAGGTTCAAGTCGGCTACGGACAAAACACTCGAAACAGAGCCGTTCGAAAGTGGACCGAAGAACAGACCGACCTTTTCGCGGCGGTCTTATCGCTTAAACATTGCAGAAACGGCGAGGAAATATCATGGTCAGAAGAGCTCGAGAACCTCGCGGTGAAAAAATCATCAAATGAGCATGTTTTTAAGGAAGTACAAGAACAACTTGAAGTTGAGCTAGTGAAAGTCGACCAAAGTCACCGTGATCCCGGTGAAGAAGCGACATTCTCTATACCGCAACTACGTGCCAAGTACAAGTGGATGAAGCGAGAATGGAAAGCAGTCAAGAATAAAATAAAATGCGGCTTATTAAGAGAAGACACTAAACTTCCCAAATGGTATAAACGTCTTAATCATATTTTCACAATTTACGTCGATATGGATCGAGACGAGAAAGATATTCGACCGTCCATGGTAAGCGAGAACGGTTCGATTCACAATGAAGGTTGTAGCGTGGACGAGACTTCTGATGGCTGCCCTGCCACTCCTGAAAGGTCATGGGTCGTGAATATCGATACACGTCAGCCGTCTGTCTTTGTTAACTCTGAAACTGCTGAAATAAACTCCAAAGACGAAGAAGAACTTGCAAACGGATCAACTGAGCTGACACAAGAAGAACACGACCAGCCAAGTGAACAACACACGAATAAACGACCTTATACCGCAATAGCCGATGACATAACAACTTCTGCAAACGCAAAGTACAGAAAGAGAGATATGCACGGAAGGACGGTGAACACTAGGGAATTGCCAAACTATTCAATGGAATGTTGTCGTCCTTCTTGTCGATGTAGTAGTCAGTCGGATTCGGGAAGATTCGTCGAAGTTATCAAGAGTATTCTAGACGCTGAAGAAAGGCGCGAACGAATGTTTGTGGACTTTCAGCGGGAGCAAGCGCAACTTAACAGGCAACATGAACTTAAGATTGCTCAGATTTTTGTCGATATGTCATCGCAACAAAGAAATATTTTGTCAGAAATAAGTAGCATAAAAGAACTCATTTTATCCAAAGGCAAACAGTTCTGAGCTCAAGAAATTATCAAAAACAATATCATGTTGCGTAACCATTTTCATCATAATCAAAAATCATTATCATTTGCCCTAGTTTATTATGATGCCACTCTATTTTTTAATGTTTTGATGAAAACACCCAGGATTATGGAGGGGATTAGCGCTGCACATCAAATAAAATGTACATGAGCAATCTGTATATATAAAAACACAATTCATTGAGGTTGTACTTTAGGAGACAATATAAATGGGTCCAAATTTCCACTTTTTCAGCATCGTATTCAAATGTAAACATACTGTGAAAAAAGGAATTACCCTAACTCATTATGACATCACAGTATGTTTACATTGGAGAAAGATGCCCAAAAATAGTAGAAATATGGACCCAGTATATTCTCTTTGAAAGTAGATCATTAATTATCTTGTTTAAATGTATTATATGCTATCTATCAAAGATTGATCATGTGTATTTTATTTGATATGCAGTCACTCTGATCCCCTCTGGTTACCGTAATCCTTATTAAAACAATGGAATTTTTTTGGAAATAATGTCATAAGAAAATAGGGCAATTCATTAATCAATTTTACAAATTTCAATAACCATCAATTTGTGTTATTTAACAAATAGATCTCATTTTTCCGTGCGTGTGTACTCTAATAGATACACAGATGACGTCAAAATGTAGTGAGAACAAAYAAGTACGCACGAGACGCAGTCGAGTGCGTGACTGTTGTTCTCGCTACATTTTGACGTCATCTGTGTTTCTATTAGAGTACACACGCACGGAAAAATGAGATCTATCTGTTTTATACAACAAACAATTAGTTTTGACGTAATCCGTGTATCTATACTTTGATAACACACGAAAGCCAACCAATCCAAACGTCTGATTTTACTGAAAAGTTGTATAAAATGTAACAAACATGAACTAGACTATCATAATCAATATCACTAATAAGGGCATGATTCAGGGGAGTGTCAACTGGTTGACCAGACACKAATATTATAATGTCAAGTTGAGAGGTGACTGGACAAAATCTCCTAATTTGGTATTGGTGAGATGAGACTAAAAGAAAGACCTTACTGAGAAATGCAAAATTTGGTGTCAATCAGTGCAAGAGTGAATGAGTTACAGCCTTTAAAATATGCTAACATTTTCTAGTAAGAAACGTCACCAAGACCTATAATTGCTTCAGGTGCTCTCTGCTGCAGCTGCAACACTGAATTAAGATTTGTCCCATGATTTCTTGAATTTAACCCAGAATGCATCATTTATTATGTAACCCTGCTCCTTTGGGGCACATATAAACCAAGCCCTACAGGGTAGTCTTTTCTAACAGCCACAACTTCCATTTTCATCAAATCTCCTCCCCGAAAGTAAAGACTGTTTACCCAGGTGCAACATTCCTTTCGCATTGATTGATGAATCACTGCTTWAAGCTCCTGAAAATCAGGAGCTGTTCGTGCAATAATAAAACAAGATGTTTGTTATTGCAGCTGAAAAATTTAAAATTAGAGTGTTAAACAACCATCAGAAGAATGCTATTCTCAAGTTTATAGAAGATAGAGTCAATGTGCTCATGAATCTGCCCACCATCCCACTGGGTTTGGAAAATTGCTAATTTTCCAAATATTGACATATATTTTCGATCACAAGTTGGGTTGATCAGGAAGTATCATTGTTGTGGTTAGTAGCTGTGGTTAATCCATTTTAAAAACTTGCTTGAAACAAAGAAAGCACTTACGGTACTATTATCTCTGATAAACTTCTTTGACGTACTCAACTTCACTTACTACAAACAAGGTGCTGGAATGAATTGGCGCAGGAAAGTTATCAAGTCATAGAAGACAAACCTCTTCCTTTGATTGGTTGTTGTTATAAAATAGGAAAGGAATGTTGCACGTGGATATACAGTCGTTAGTACTATCGGGGAGGAAATTTGACAAAACTGGAAGTTATGGCTGTTATTTGAAGAGACTACCTACATGGAGTTCCTTGATGTGAACTTCTCTCCTTTCTTTGTGCTTCTTCATGGCCAATAATACCAGTGTATTTTTGAAATAATTCTTTCTATGCATTTTTACCACCAAGATTTGTTTTGTTTCTGAACACTCAGCAACTTCAGACTACATGTTTAAAATTAGAACTGATGGATTGTAACTCAGAAGAAAGTGAATTATAATAAATGCAGCTACATAAGATATCCAATCTTTATGCCTACGATTAAATATTTTTTACAATCGCTACTTAGGACATTATATATGAGCATAAATAATTTGATAGTTTTTTTTGGTACAAAGAGTATTACAGTACTTTCCATCCCCAAGGCAGCATTTTTAAATTACTATTGGGTGTAATTAATTTAGATCTAAATTCCCAATATATTTTCATCCCCAGTGCCAATAACATAACACATCGGTCCAACACATCAACATGACAGCTTAATGTACCATACATATTGAGTACATCTGCCACAATATGTGGCATTATTAAAGATTTGGAATGTTTAATCTGAATATTATGTATGTGACGTCTTGTATTATACAATCCTGTATTGTTTAAYTAGATATTTCTGTTTTGAAATATAACTTACACTTAGCTATAAACCAGGCTATAAACGCTTTTAATCAAAAAAAGTTATAACATTGACATAAATTGCTTTTCATTACAGCCAGTTAACATTTATATTATTTTTTATGTGATAGCCCTAAACGTCCAGGATTTAATTTTTGCGATTTGTCAAAACTGAACTTTATACGATATGGAATAACTGAAGCTTATCTCAACTGATAACCTTCAAAATATACTTTTTGACTAGAAACAGAGAATTGGTCGTCGATTAAATACATTATGAAAATAACTTCAAACATACAGCAAATCAGATTGAGTGCCAGGCTACGCAGTATAGTACAAACACAGCTCACTGTTTTCGAGAAAAAAAAATGAAAACAAGGTTTTTAAGCTCAGACGTTACCTTCTTGCAGTCGAGATATCTTGCACAGAAAAATATCAATGTCGTTGCAAATATACACAATCGAAAAAACAATAAATAAAAAATAAACTGTTTACTTACCAAAGTTAAAGCAGCCTTTCGTGCAGCAAATTTTCGCTGTCGACTTACGGCTTTGACTGTCGCTCCAATAACAGTCCTAGCCGCCATTTTGAGTCTTATGTAACAAAATGACGTCACAGTCAAGGAAATTATTAACGCAGGAAGCCCGGTRGCAGATTGATGTACTACTATCTCGAAAATCTAGAAAATCTAGCAATTTATTGGAGTTACTTAACACACTTTTATTCTATTTCCTTTTTTTCTCTTATATAAGCTACTATTCTAAATTTATGACGCTAACGTGCAAAAGTGATTTTATCTTTTGGGCCTCCTGTGTAGTCTGATCTGTAGTAAACTAACTAAACACTAATGTCAACTGTTATTTTAGAGGGTATGAATGTGTTTTCGGGTCGTCAACTTCGGAGAAGAAGTGGGGTTATCGTATATCCAGAAGAAGTGCTGCAAAACAAAGTAGTTGCCCTATATTTCTCGGCAAGTTGGTGTCCACCGTGTCAACAGTTTACACCAATTCTAAAAGCTTTCTACGATGAATTACATGCGAATGGTTTGCCATTTGAAGTCGTCTTCATATCTTCTGATAAGACAGAGGAAGACTTGGACTCCAACATGAAAGAAAGCCATGGAGATTGGCTAGCAGTGCCTTTTGGTAATGAAATTACCAGAGAACTAAAGCAACGTTACCATATCACACTAATTCCAAAGTTGGTTATAATTGATGATGAAGGAGAAGTTGTTACTATGATGGGAAGAAGAGAAGTGACCGAAATCGGACCAAAATGTTTTAATCAGTGGTCCCATGTCGTTGGTGTAGCAAGAGGGGAGGTTGCAACTACCAATACTAAAGGCACATCAAATGATTTTTGACTGTTTCTATGGCAACGAGGTTCATGTAAAACAGCCAACAATATCAATTAATACACTCCAAAATACAGCAATATGCAGACTTAAATTATTCTCTTTTTTGCTCATATTTTAAGTATATATAGAATATATCAGAAATTATAGGATATCATCGCTAATATTTCAGAAAGTACTAGTGCTAGGCAACTCCAAAAGAATGTCAGCAATGATATCCCATAGTTTCTGATATATATATCGATTATATACAGCAACATGCAGAAATTATAATCTTTTTGCTCATATTTCAAGTATATCTAAAATATATCAGAAATTATGGGGTATCAAAGTACTAGTGCTAGGCAACTTCAAAAAAATATAGACGATGATATCCCATAATTTCTGATATTTTTTTATATATTTCAAATATGAGCAAAAAGATCATAATTTCTGCATACTGCTGTATACTTGAAATATGAGTCAAAATGATCATTATTTCTGAATATTGCTGGAAATAGAAGACTATCACATATATGTTCGATTCTGATTGGTAGTGTTCCATGCCAGTGCAACTACAACATTGTAGTTGCACTTTTACAAGAGAAACGCTCTCAGTTACTCCATCTACGTCGAAACAGATGTCAACAAAGGTAGACCGTGCAGGACTGTTGTGAACTGTTGTGTATTCYATAACRATCTGATAAGGATCCCTGTGTATGTTGTGTCTCCTTTGTCCTTGTAAKAGTTGTTTTTTGATATGAGTCTTAGTTAATCTAGTTCAACCCAAGGTATTACTATAGGAACCAAGTTACAGCAGTCTGTTAACTTTAAAAGTACTAGACGGGTCAGGGTAGGTTAYGCTAAATAGAATGCAAARAGCTTTTAGTTAGCTTTTGACCTTGAGGAGTGGAGAAAATTGCCCACCAATCGCCAAAACTATCTAGYAATTRYGGATACASTCAAGATATGCACAAGAGGTCAGATAAGTGAATTTCTAAGATACTCAAAGCTATAACAAATACAATAGTAATATCATTCAAAAACTGTTATGGTTGTCCTGGCGCCCTTGCCCAAGCCTTGTCGTTGGAAGACTTGGACACGACAGTCCTTGACACTCAATAATCTCGTACRCAGAGCCCGCGTTACTTTTGGTCTGCGACAAGCAATTGTTTTTCGTCGAGCCTGCGAGTAAGGGGGACAGTGGCGCCGAGGCGCTTTGCCAGGGTTCTGTTTGATTCTCATGAATATTTCCTTGTTATATGTTGATGGTTTTCCCGAACAATCACCATTAGGCATGCACCTCTTACACTTTGCTGCACTTCCATAAAAGCACTCACCACATACGCAAAACTTGAAGTCGTAATAGACCTAACTGCCATCCCGAATAATACAGTTCCGTTAGTGGAAACCAGAGTAGCAAAAGGACAGCTAAAATCCACGTATTTTTGYCTGTTCTACACGCATGACATTCTGGATGTATCCACTGCTTGAAGTCACGTCTCTGAAAGAACTGTAAGTAGAACTTTGAAAAGCTAGATATTTTCGAGTCGTTGGAGTTTTCAATACAGTTAAGTTAAGRGTACTAGATTTTCGGGAATCATTTCTTGGCGCCTTTCAGAGAAGACTAGCAAAAGCTAAAATAAGTTATCTTTGTTGTAGCTATGTGACTCAGCTGTTTTATAATAAACTTTCAGTTAAAACTGTTTTCTTGTCGATGTTTTGCATTGTCTGCACTACCTTACATGAATTGAGAAACCAAGGACTAAATCGAGACTAAAATTTACTGAGTTTGAAAAACGTAAACTTACAATTCAGATTCAACTTAAAAGTGCTATTTCAACTTTTTCATTTTTCCTGATAAGCTTACCTATGTTATCYCTCCATAAATCATACCGAAATGTTTTGTTCACCGGTTCTTCGGAAATAGCTAAAAGCGTAAATAGATAGGGTCGGACATTGCACACATTGATTAAGTCTTAAGTTTATAAACAGAAGCTATAATGTAGGATGATTAATTAATATTGCTCAAAAAACTTGTTCGTTTTGTTGTAAAAATGCAGATGAGTTCTTTGAAACTGAGTTTTACAACTGCGCCTTTTGAAAAATAAGTTGTATGAGAATAGTTTAGCGCAAGAAAATATTCACATGTAAAAAAGTTTGTTTTTTTGTAATCGATACTTATGATTTTTTTTAACAAATCACTTGTGCACTTGTGGGTATTGCTTTTCAAAACGTTTGCCTTTCAAAAATCTCTCGCATGAAGTATTTATTAGTTTTATTTTATTTATTTTAAAGCTAGATATTTTACTTACCGTGTAATTCTGGGACTAATCACTTGTCCTAAAAAYTAAWTTGGTTTGCCTGTTAACAAAGTGAAAGTTGTACACTGGGAACCAATTTCCCTTTTAAGGTCATTTTTCCTTATATGGTCATTTTCCTTCAGGGTCATTTCCCCTTATAAGGTTCAATTAGAACGTCTCGCGCGCTGCTAATAAAACACGTAACAATGGTTATTCCTTCACTTTGCTAATTGCAGTCACTAGTGACGGGTTAGCAATCACCGCTTAGCTATTAGTAGCGTTTTACAGCGATATTTAACCACAACTTATTGAAAACTTTGCGACAAAATGTCAACTAACATCATCTTGAGCGAGAACGCGCCAAAAAGCCAGTCGAATGACGGCGAAAGCCCTGGAGGACAACAGTCTCCCACAAATTCAKTGGGAACAGCTATCAGTGAATCATCTGGTAAAGAAGTGGAAATCTTCATCACTGAAGACGTTTCGTCCTCTAACGTCAAACGTGCGCCAAAAACCGCTTCYAGAATCCCAAAGCCACGACGTAACGGAATCCGCCGCAGTTCCCCAAGTCAAACGTCGAGTGATAGCGATGGCTCGGACGCGGAGAGGAAGGTTCGCCGCAAGTCCCAAATTCCGATTCGGAAAAGAAAGCCACGGCCACGTACCAGAAAACACAAGAACGGTCACAACTCGAGTAGCGATGAGAAATCCTCAACATCTTCCGCTGACGACCGTTCCTCAAGCGACAGCGATGACAACGCCGAAAAGCAGCGTAACATACCAGCTATGCCTACCAGCAGAAAGGCGAAGATCCACGGCGCCGCTGTAGCTGAGAACGACTCCTCCAGCGACGATGACAACTCAAGCTCTGCCGCCCGCAAAACCTCCGAAGACAAAGCTGGACTCAAAACACCCGAAAAGCCAGCCAGTGAGAACAACGCTGCAGTCGAGGGCGTAGCAACTCGAGAGATTGAGGCCGTGGTTATCGTAGAGTCAGCAGAGAAGTATGAATACGAGTACTCGTCAAGCTTCGAGTCAACCGACGAGTCTGATAATGAWAAAGAACTGAAGTCTACACAGCCTGAGAACAAGCCAAAACTCAAAGGTTCTCAATACAACAAGTACTACACTGGATTTGGCACTCATTACAGGCATCCAACTCACACAAGGTACAGTGATACAAGGAGATTGAGAAAATGAATATGATACAATAGAATGGGACAGGAAAGTAGAGGGTAGGATGTGAGGGGAACAATACAATATAATGGAACACAAAAGAAGAGGGTAGGATGTGAGGGGAAGAATACAATAGAATGGAACATGAGTGGAGAGGGTAGGATGGAAGGGGAAGAATACAATAGAATGGAACACAAAAGTAGAGGATAGGATGTGAGGGGAAGAATACAATAGAATGGAACACAAAAGTAGAGGGTAGGATGTGAGGGGAGAAATACAATAGAATGGAACATGAGTGGAGATCGGGTAGGATGGAAGGGGAACAATACAATAGAATGGAACACGAAAGTAGAGGGTAGGATGACAGGAGATAAAATGGGGTGGAATACAATATAACAGAATGAAACAGGAAATTAGAGTGTAGGATGGGAGAGAATATGCAAGTAAAAGGGTAGGATGCCAGTGGAATGAAAAGGGATGGATATAAGTAAATGGTAACTTATAGAATTGTAGTGCATGCTATCTTATTTATCAAACTCAATACAGTGCGGGCATCAGGATAAAACCACTGGAGTTTCTGCCCACAATTTTATCAGAATCAGAAGGATCTGATTCTGACAGTGCCAGCAAAAAGAAAGCAAGAAACAGTGGTGATAACACAGCAGATGAATGCAGTTCAATCGACCTTGATGACTTAATTGCTGAAATATTGGAGACTGATTCAGAACCATCGCACWCTAAGGTTAGAATAGTCTCCTTCACGGTTACCTGCACCATCTTGAAAGGTAGCKGTGRCTTTGCATCGAAGCGAGACGACCGTTGAGCGTGCAATGATAGAAACCTGTGAATAATTGRCTGTAGGTGTGAAAGAAGGTTTCTATCATTGCACACTCAACGGTCGTCTCGCTTCGATGCAAAGGCACGGCTACCTTTCAAGATGGCGTAGGTAACCYTGAAGGAGACTATTTGTTATCACTTATTCTTTATCATTYTTGATAAATACCTATTAATATTTATTGCTTATTTACATACTTATGTATCTATCTTTTCATTTTTTCTTTAATTTCTCCATTCATCCCTTCACTCATTTATCCCTCAATCAATTAATATTAATTCCTTTCTTCCTCTTACCATTCATTTATTCACTTATTTTTTATCCAATATTTATTTTTGCATTCATTTGCCAGTTCGGTCATTTAATTATTTGTTCATCTATTTATCTAAAGAAATTCAAAAAGATATTCAAATGACATTTGTGTAAATGTAACTTGGTTCCTCCAATTGAAATGTTTTAGTAAAGAAATTAATACCAAGAATGAAATGCAATTAACATTCTTGTTTAGTCTCGCCACTGCAAAAGCTGTACTGATAAGGCCAACCAAATCAAGAAACTTCAGCAATCTGACAGGTAATAGAAAAAAACTCACTACTTTTTTATATAAAAAGGTTATCACTTAATTCAACTYTAGTTTAATTTGAACAACATCTTTTTCCAGTAAGCTAAAACAAAGAATCCAAGAACTTGAAAAGACCATTGAGGAGCACAAGCAAGCCATTGAAGAGTCTGCAAAGAAGGCAAAAGGCCTCGATGAGAAGCTGTYCCTCCTTCAGCATGACTACAAGTGCTTGGAAGTCTCAGTTAAGTGGGCTGAATGTGAAGCCAAGAAGGCAAAGGAAGAATCTCAGAGATATTCTCAAATGGACGAGGAATACACGCGCAATGAGGAAAGACTCAAGAATAAGATCTCAGAACTCCTCATGGCCAACAGAGAATTGAAAYAGAAGAATTCTCTGGAAGAGTTCTCTTCGCAGCTCCAAGAGTTTCATGAGAAAATCCTGGGTACTAAGAGGCAGTTGATGGAGGATCTAAATAAGAAGC